CCCCCCCCCTATAGAATTCTGTGAATGAGGAAGAGTGATTTCAAAATAAAAGCCTCATCTGCAAGCACCCCTTACTTTACTGATCTATTATCAGTTAACCCTGATTTTTTAAATGATCTTTGTCAACTATGCTCTATCTAGCAATCTATCACACTATGTATCTTCATTATGCTCTCTGGCCCTACTTTAGTCTAAACAAATTCTCTCTAAAAACAGCTGGATACCCCTCACCAAACTTGGGAAGCATATTAACTTTCCTCATGCACCACAGCCCCCATCCAGGTCACACTAAGCACTTCTATTAGTGACAGAGAGCAAAATGTGAAAGCTGCAACATTTAGCACACTAGCTTTACATGTGAATACTTTGATAAAGGCTGAGATTATGCTCACTCTTCCATGAACCTGAAAAAGCCACCTTTAGGACCTAAGCACAAGATACACTACTGAAGAACAATGGGGTATGGTGAAAGCAGCATGAGGCATGCCTGCCGCTGCCATAAAAGATGCGCCCGCAGACCTGCTTGGATGCACTGGCAGAACAGTCTGAGTCAGTCTTAGGCAATGCTGCAGGTGCCTATGCCATATCCTTGCTCTTGAAACCCTGGCTGCATCACTGTGGATGCAACTTTCCACTGGCCCTGCTGCTGGTGGAAGGAATTTTCCTCCCACTGAGTTCAGTGAGTAGGATCAAGGATTCCTGCTCAGTAATGACATTCACTAAATGACTTTGGGCATGTTACTTATCCCTCAGCCTAAACCTGTTCAGCAGAAGTTAATGTTAGGTGTTTGTTTGCTTCTTTAATTTGTATATTGTCGAATAGCTGGAGCTCTCTGGGTGGTGAGCAACAGTTAACAAATGCAATAAAATTTAAAATAAGACAACAGCAGTCCATCATGCAATGGTGTCTAAAATTTTTTAACAACAGTTGTTAAAACACCAAGCAACTAAAACCAGTCCATGTCATCTCAGCAGGCACAGGTTTGCTGCCTAAGACACTTTGTGGGGGCTGGTTACCTTGAAAAGAGGGGATGTCTGTGCCCACGCACATATGTGTGTATAAAATAATCCATTATAATATTTGTGTATTTATTCATTTTTCACAAGGTGATCTGTGAAGGCAATGATGCAATCCTGCCAAAGTTAAGCACTTTTAAGGGCAGAAAAATATTTAACATCAGCTGTACATTTACCCAACCTGTACGATCATTTCCTGTAAGTTGTCTAAATACCACTTATTTAAAGACACACACAACTGTAGGAGGAGGAATCAGTAGGAAGGCTTTGATAGGCGAAATTCTTTCTGGGCATGTACTCCTTTACTAGTGTTACAAGGGAAACACAGGGCCAGGAACCCCATATTTGCCAGATAAAAGAGGAACAAACAGAGGAAGTTCAGACCATTGGTCCTTTTGTGCAGTATCACCTGCTATGAACAGGTAGGGTTATGGCTCATCAGTGGCTCTTCTGTGCTTGCAGAAGGCTCCAGGTTCAATTGCTGGCATACCCAGGTAGATCTGGAGATATTCCTGCAGGAAACCCTGGAGAGATGCTGTCACTCAGCTGCAACAAAATAGGGTTAATGGATCGTTGCCTGATTTGGTATGGGGCAGCTTCTTATGTCCCCATGGCTTTGGGGGTTTGTTCGACTGCTGCCTGCCCTTTCCAACTGCAGGGAGCAAACCTGCTGTCTTCTGCACACACTCTACTTCTGCTTCCTTGATTTTCACTGAAAGGCAGAAAGCTCAAGAAGAACCATGTATTTCACACACCCCAATGGCAAATAGGCAATCAGATGCTTAATCTGGGCTGTGTTACATCCACTATCTTAAGAGTGTTTTTGGCCACTTTACAGAAAACTAATTGGTTGGGTTTTGTGAGTAGCAGCGAACTACCGAGTGCCGCTTTACACTGAAGGGCACAGATTTCGGACCATTTTGTTTACAGGTCCTTGATTTGGGGTCACCCCCCACATGCATGTAAGTAATTTGCACCCACCCTGCAAACACGGCCCCATCAGGTCTATTTAGTGCATTCGCTTGTTGTTCTGCCTTAGGGAAGGAAAGGTCCTGGAAGTAAATCCACAGCCATCCACCTCATGGCTGTACAGAGCTCAGCTGTTTTTGTGTTTCAACATGTTTATACAAATCACAAGTGCTCTTAAAAGAGAAGAACACCAAAGAGGAGACAAATGGCTCTTGTACTTAAAACACAGACCAAGTAGCACTGTTGTCTCAGAGCTAGAGCTCTGATAATTACAAGACACTACGGATAGTCGGAAAATCCGGGTGGTGCGTGGGAAGCAGGCTGTGTCTCTGGAGCCCCGGCACTGTGTGCCTGAGGTCAGAGCATGCCCTGCAGAACCACGGAAGGGGCTGCTGGGGATCAGGATCTTGGGCCGCTAAGGCGGAGGGCCATACAGCGATTTCCCATGATCTGGTTAGCTGATCACCACAGAGTCAAACTTGGTCTGGCATCAAACTCATTCTAATAGCAGGCATAGGAGCCATAAGGTTCATCAACAGTGTCCTGAAATAGGAGAGCGTTCCCTCAGGGTGGTAGCTGGGGAGAAAGCACTGAAGTTTTCCCCCCCACGCCCCCTTGTGCTGGGAATGCAATCCTTTACGTTAGTGTTACAAGGGAAACACAGGGTTGGCAGCCCCACATTTGCCAGATATAAAAGAGGAAGAAACAGAGGAAGTTCAGACCATTCATCCTTTTGTGCAGTATTGTCTGCGATGAACAGGGAGGACTACAGCTCCTTAATAAGACCATTCCAAGACTCTTATTAATTGCTTTAAAAACACAGAAAACCCATATAACAGTTTCCCAACTATATGTTTAGTGTCATGTCTCATTTAGCCCTGCATTCTAGACCAAATGTGTCCTGTCCAAAAGTGCAATAGAAAGTTCAGCCCTTGAGGGAGAAGAGAAGAAGGTCCAGATTGCCGGGAGATAAGGTAGATCAGTCTCCACAAAGGCATCTTAATATAGCTAAAATTGCATCCCATCCCCTACAAATTGATTCCACTGAAAATGCATTTTGTAAAGCTATCTGAGCATGTCTGAATCTCCTAAAGTAGAAGATTCCCTTAGCGGGGTGAATTCCTGGTGCCATGAGCTGAAAGGGTTTTTAAAGCCTTCTCTGGGAGATGCCCAAGCTCAGAGCAGATGATGCATTGCTTGGTGGACTGGAGCAAGAGTTTAATTTTCCATGTCCCCAAAGCAGCTGTAGACAGAAGACTTCCATAGGGTGACAACAGAAAGGAAAAGTTCTCTCTCCCCCTACACTGCAAGTAGGAAATATGCAGTGAAGGACATGTCAGGTATTTCAGATAGAAGGGTTTTAGCACAAACAACCCAAAGGCCGTGTGTAGCATTTTCATCTTCTTTAATGGGATTTTCCACTGTTACAGGAAAAAAAGATGGAACAAGCAGCAGCAAAACAT